TATTTCAAGTTATTGCATCAAGAAATGTTTAGGCAAAAGGTGATTACTTTGCAAAATTATATTTCATCGTTTTGAACTTGACAGGAGTCGCACACAAATGCAGGGTGATCAAAAGAAAACTGAACAACTTTTTTTCTTAATATCTCGAACAAAATTAGTACTAGAAGGTTGTAATTTGGAACAGACATTATTCATTCAAAAGGAATTCGTTTGACATAAATAAAAACCATCTATAAATGCAAAATGCACCAATTTGAAAGATCTTGTAAGGAAAGTCATGGGAGGATATAATTTTTTCCCCTTTCCTTTTATTTTAAAAATCTAATTTTCCATCCCTGTAACCTTTAAACAATATTTCTTTTCTCCTAGAGAGTTAATTTTTTTTTTTTATTCTGGAATTCCGAGAAGCAACGGTCTATAATTATATCCTCCTTTGGACTCGACACATTTGAACGTAACGTTCAGTGGAGGCCAAACACAAGGATCTACTCTACCTTGAGTACTCAAAGCCACATACACTGTACACCTTACAGCATGGAGCTGTTTCTAGAGACAATAGGGAAGGGGGATGAGGTTGCCTAAATGGACGGCATAGGTTAAGTTGATATAACCTGAAAGGTGAATATGGGCTTTGCCAAGGAACCAAATGTCGAAGAAGAAATGTTCACGCTTTTCAAACAATCAAGGAATCATGAACACATTGTCATCTCTGATAGCTTCGCGAACGGGAAAATGGTAGAGCCGTAGATTAAGATATGCTTCAGAATGCAGACCGTTGAGATGCATGAAAGTCATTGCTGCAGACATCGTCTACCAGACGTCTCATGGGGCTCATCTACTGAGTTCTGCACCCTGATGACGCATAAAGGGGTGCAAACGGTGTGTGTTTGGCCTGAAGTGGTAGTTTTGTCTAGGAATTTTTAATTCTGATTCTCTACAGGTCTTTATGGACCATTCCCACCCATGACATCAAAGAAGTCCTTACGGGCATTTCAACATTATTTCCCTACCTTGTGCGAAACTTACGAAATGAGTTGGTGATGAGAAAATGTTCAATACAAAAAGCTCTCTGCTATTTACTGATCTTAACCATGATCTCAGCCGGCAAAGGAAACTTGAGAAAAACTATCTGCAAACGTCTGTTGGCCTGTTAGACTGCTGTAGCTTGCAATATGGCCCAATCGTTGGAATTTTTAGCGGTTGGCTTAATATAATGCACACTAGTGCGTTATGCTACAAAAAAGTAGATAGCTGAAAATGGGTTGATGTTTTACGCGCTATGTAGAGCAAAACTATTCGGTGGATTTATCTTTAATGAATCTCAGACAAATTCAGTTTGACTTCTAAATGTTGTGTACAAATTTGAAGCGCAAAACTTCAGTGTGGAGGAAAAAACTTTTTAAAAAAGTTTAACAAGCTTTTTTTTTTGGGGGGGGGGATCTCCCTGTACTTGTACGATAGTCTACGTTACTACATTTTGATTTATAGGCAGGCACCGCTGTATTACCGCTTCCTTTTCGTGTGTTTGATGCCCTTTCTGTAGCGATGTATGGCTTTGACACGTTTGTTATCCTCAGTACTGTGTGATGCTGGGCTGTCTCCTCTTCGCTCAGACTGTGGTTACAATCTGTGCCTACATAGACCGTACACCGGTGAGTTGATTTGCCCATTTTACTGTCTAAAAACAAAGATGAAAGATAAATAGAAATGAGATTCAGATAAAGAAAAAAGACATCGACATAAAGATAGGTAGCAGGAAGATAAATAAAATATTAAAACGAACAAAAGAGTAAAAGGGTGGATTGTAGGGGTGTGCGCATCTAATGTTTTGGACTGGAGTCCGACTCCGAGTTTAATACTCGAGTGAGCACTTGAGTGGGCCTATTGAATAATTGAATCCTCAATGACTTATTTGGTGATGCTTTTATCCGTATAATATATGTATATGTACGAGGGCTGTCCCACGGAAAACCAGAAAAGGTCCGTAAAAGCAAAAATCTTTGTCCTATTATAATAAAACTGTAACACATCATACCTCAACATGTGCTTTATTTCTCAATGTAATCACCATCCCGCTGGACACATTTTTCCCATCGCTGGATCTGGGAGAAGATACCCTCCCTGAAGAATATTTCGTCAAGGGATTTCAACCAATCGTTCACGGCTTCCATGAGGTCTTCGTCGTCGGTGAATCGCTGTCCAGAAATACGGCGTTTCATTGGTTCAAAAAGGTGATAATCTGACAGGGCCAAGTCAGGACTGTGAGGTGGGTGTAGTAGAACTTCCTAGCCGAACCTTTGGAACCAGTCTTTCGTGACGTTTGCGGTGTGTGGCGTTGTGTTGCCATGCTGCAAAATGACCCCGCTGGTCTTTTTCGGCCCCAACCCATCAAGCAGAGACCTTTCAATAGTGCAGCTCATCAAACTCTATCCTATAGACAGTCGACTTTGAAACGTTTACCGACTCGCAAATTTCGCGAATTTTTAGGCGCCTGTCTGTTTGAATAAGTTCGTTAACGCGACTCTTGTTGTCCTCAGTCTTGGCAGAAAAACAAGATCCTGGGTAAACTTTGTCATTGATATCGGAGTGCCCGGCTTTGAACTTACTACATCACTCATATACCTGTGACTTTGCCATTACTTTCTCCCCATAAACTGACTTTATTTCAGTGTGTATTTCTAGAGGTTTGAGACCTTTTGCGGTCAGAAACCGAATGACAGACCTCACTTCTACCCTTGACCAATTTTCTAAGGGGGTAGCCATCTTTTGAGAACTGCTATGCTCGTTTGGTTTGTGTGATGCACATGGTGCTCAATAGGGAAATTTCTAAATGATTGTTTTACAAGTGTGCGTTTACAGAATGTGAAAATATTGAATAGTTTTCAAATTACAGCCAAATTCCGGTTTTCCGTGGGACAGCCCTCGTACATATTATGTGTGTGTGTGTGTGGGGGGGGGGGGTGCGTGCTAAATATATATTATAATATTGTTTGTTTGTTTTGGTAAGCATCTTACGGCGCTTTCAGCAGTATTAGGTTATATGAGCGCCCAGAACACATTAAACATTTTTAGTTTTGGTTGGAATTAATTTTGAATTTTGCCCGAGTGGCGGTCGAAGCCTACTCTTAACGATTTTGGATCTCCAGGGGATCTTTTATGTGCACGCAACTAGTACTCAGGACCTTCGAGGTTTTTCGCCCTTATCTGTGAAGGCTAGGTGTTAGACCTTAACTACCCTAAGCTCAGGGGTATGGTTGAAGACAGCAGTAAGAAGGAGCTAAAGGGTAGGAGTAGAAAGGCTACAGACAGAGCCAGGAGCCCAGAGGAGGACACCGCAACATTTAGACCATGAGAGCCTCCTTGTGTATATGTATTACATTACTCTCTCTCTCTCTCTCTCTCTCTCTCTCTCTCTCTCTCTCTCTCTCTCTCTCTCTCTCTCTCTCTCTCTCTCTCTCTTTAAATATATATATATATATATATATATATATATATATATATATATATATATATATATAATATATACATACAATTTATATACATTTTTTAAAAAATGATACCGTTTATAGAAACATCTTATTCTTTGCTTTATGGTATAGAATTATTTTTAAATGTTCCATTAAAACGCACATTTAAATATCTTTCTAAATTATGGTTCGTGTCTAGTTGGCGTACTGACCTTTTTATTTTTTTTTAAAGGACTTATGGTAATGTGAATTTTTTAATGATGGTTAACTACATGAAAAGAAAAAACCCCAACGTATCTTGTTCCTGTCCTTCACAGTTTGACAGCACGGTGAAAGAAATGCTGAAAGAGTCACTGCTCGAATGGACGGGTATTGATGGAGAGGATGGTAATAGTCTGGGCTGGAACGCCATCATGTCTTACGTGAGTAACTTAACAGTACAAGGTTTTAACTTGAAATCTTTGGTGTTTCGACTCCTTCCTTTGTTGTCTGTAATAAAACCATGTTGATTTTGTTCTTCATTCGAAGGTAATGTTGTGAAGACAATATTGTTAAAAATTTAACACAGTCTATGCGCTAATGGTTCTCACTTTACGCAAAACCAATGTCTCCAAAAACAAAATTCTAAAGAGCATAATATTACATAATATATTATAATGTTAAGTTCAATTTTTGTGCCATTTGCAGCCGTACTGTTTTCCAATTTGCTTCAAACCATCGTAATAACACAACGTTTACTCTCATCAAAAGAATCTGTATTCATTTGAAATGCAATACGTGTCCTTGTATTTGTGCGTGAATTGAGGTGCATCAACATTGGTGGAATATTTCATCTTCGATTAAAGTCGGGTAGTGCAAGCCTTTAACACAGTGATTGAGTGAATACATTTTCAAGTTTCTTTTGGACGCCGCTGATTGTATATGATACATAATTATGATTATATTGATGATGACAATCATTATCATAACTAACATCAGTGCTCTTGTTGTAATGAACCCCCCCCCCCCCTTTCAGTTGTTTTCTCTTCATACCTCATTTACGAGACTACCTTGTAATAACGTGCCAACTGATGGATGTAATGGACTAACATGTGGTTGTTCTTTTGAAGAGGAAAAGCACGTCTTATCCGTTTGGTCATGAGCTACCGTTTTATTTATTTTATTTATGTTCTTTTCAGTTAATTTTTTCTGGGTTTTTAAAAAAATAATAAAGTATCCTTTTTAGTGGTATTGTTGTACACGTTTGATGATAATTATCATTATCATAACTATCGCCAGTACTCTTGTTGACGTCATTGCTGTTTTGTTGCTGCTGCTGTTATTGTTGTTGTTCTTGTCGTTGTTGTTGTTGTTGTTGTTATGGTCGTGGAAGGGGACTGGCTTCCATACCATAAGTGCTGTATAATTAATACTACATACGTCAATATCAAATTGGTTCATTTTTGTTCTTTCAGTTATTTTTTTTTTCATTGTGACTGTCTGGGTTATTTATACATCCCAGCATAGCAAGATGTTAAGCTTCTTTCCTTCATCCTTTGTGGCGTCGGTGGCCTAGTGGTTAGGCTCTCGGACTCGCAACCGTAAGGTCGTGGGTTCGAATCCCGTCAGGGGCCCGACGTTGTGTCCTTGGGAAAGGCACTTTACACTTATTTTCCTCACTTCACCCAGGTGGGAATGGGTACCCGGCTATAGACAGCGAAAGATCTTGTCAGTTTGTTAGTGTTTGAGCGCTTAATCGGCTGCTCGCACTGTATGTTTCCCGGGAAGCTGAGAATGTTTCTACATACGTCAATATCAAATTGGTTCATTTTTGTTCTTTCAGTTATATTTTTTTTCATTGTGACTGTATATGCGCTATACAAATGCTATCTATTATTATTATTATTATTATTATTATCTAGTAAAAAATCAGTACATTTATTTCTTGTCTTATTTTTCAAAACTGTTATTATAAAGTACATAGTTATAGAATTTTAGTCGAACGTCTGCCTCCCCCACCCCCTATGCACACACACAAACACACGCATATACATCCTCTCAGCCATCCTCTGGCTGCGCCGCGGAACAGCGACTGCTGACGTCATTTTACCGGGGAACAGTGACCGGGGAACAGCGGCTAGTATTTTACTATATTTCTTTGTTACTGTTGAACTTGGTGTAATCGCCTACAGTATCGAATACAATTAGACCAAACATGTTAGATTTCGTCTCTATTTTCAGTAAGCTTAACTAGAGCTCAGTCAAATCTCCCGCCTATCCGTTCATAAGGAAGAACGACAAGAAAGAGAGAAGTTGATTGCAGCGTAAAGCAATAAGGAGCTGTCGCAGGGAGAGTTTTAAAGAAAAAATTCTTTTTTAATGCTCTCAGCTCAGTAGCAGGTTTGAAAACATTCTCCAGAATGTTCTTAGAGTTTGAACTTTTGTTTTTATCTCTTTGCATTGTTCTCTTCAGGTGGATGTCATTATTTTCAGTTTAGATGCTGCGATTGCAATTTTCCGTTTTATCTTTGTTTTCCGATTTGATATTGTTTCACCATGATTGGTTTGTCATACTCCTATAGGATCATACTCTTACTCACATGATCACACACACACACAAACACACACACAAACATACACACAAACACACACACAAACACACACACACACACACACGTTATAGCCCCTCCTCACACACACACACACACACACACACACACACACACACACACACACACACACATACATATACAAACATACATACAATCACACACAAACACATACACACAAATACACACACACACACACACACACACACACACACACACACACACACACACACACACATACATACAATTACATAGATTTATAACTGGTGTTATTTTATCAAACATACATAATGTACGTGTGTGTATCAATAAAGTACTAATACAAAGAAAATACATCACCAAACAGATAAACAAACAAACATGCACACGGATTTATGATGGAAGTCATTTTATAATGCATGCATGTACGCGTTCGCTTCACATTCAATAGGTTCCAGGTTCGAAACCAGACAGCGACGGAAACATTACATTTTTTTCTCTAAAAGAAGAAGAAGAAGAAGAAGAAGAAGAAGAAGAAGAAGAAGAAGGAGAAGAAGGAGAAGAAGAAGAAGAAGAAGAAGAAGAAGAAGAAGAAGAAGAAGAAGAAGAAGAAAAAGAAGAAGAAGAAGAATCCTGAGCATGATGAGGTTCTTGGTGCCAAGCGTGAGCTTGACATTGTGTATACTTTTAAACGGGTAACAGTGACCCCGAATTTAGACCAAATAATGCGGTAATTGTTTGCTTTCTCGCGTTTAATTCCGGGGAAGGACTTCGGTATCGAGCAACCACTCTGAACTCTATGAGAATAGTATACTCACTCAATGGCCATCAAAATCATTGCAGAAGGCCTTTGAAGCCCATATAGTATGTTACTACCTACAAATGAGGACATTGCCGTGGTTTACGTATTCTTAACTCCATCGCAAAGTTTTGAATGTCCTGTCGGGGAAGCTTAGATTTCTGTCTAGATCTAGATCTAGAGCGCGGCTGGAATTAAACGCGAGAAAGTAAACAATTGCTAACAATACTTCCTCCCCTGTAGAATCAACAACAGACGGCAGTATTTTTCGTTTTCTCAATGGGCATAGATGAAAAGAATCTTTCGTTGGTGACAGAACATGATGAGTAAATGGAGTACGATCTTTTTATAAAGGGGGGGGGGGTTCAAAATGTTTTTGCATGGAGTACGTGCCATGGGGAAAGGCTGAGCGTTATGTAGCGTTTTGAGTAAATAAGAGCTCAACTGAAAAAGAAGAGTTGGATTTCTTACACCCAGTCACCAGATGTAAGGTGAGTTCATGTTTTACTGTACAGTGGCGTCCAAAAGAAACTTGAAAATGTAATCACCCAATCATCGTGTTAAAGCCTTGCACTACCCCTTCATGCAGTATGCCAATTTAAAGCTAAATAAATCATGCATTATCTGACACACTAATATTTCACTTATGTTCAGAGATGCTCGAGATATGGGCTTTTAAAATAATTGACCTTAAAATCTCTGGCTTGGCGAAGTCAAAGAAACGTAAAAGTTTATTCGCGCGTGTATAGAGGTTCATCAACGTTGGTGGAATGGATATGTATTGAATATCAAATGAAAAGAAAACATCATTGCTCTGCAAAGAACAGCATCTTCTGAAGTACATTTTCAAACATGTTAGAAAACAGATTACTTACAAATACCATGCTGAACTTAGACTTAACAATGCATGTGCTCATTAGTATGATGGTGTTTTTGTTTAGGAGCTATTGGTCTTCTTGTAGAGCACAAACCTTTTAGCACATAGTTGTGTAAGTTAGATTTTGGGCTAATCATCTGTCAGTGAGAAGCAGAGGCCATGAGACTGCCATTTTTTGGGGTGGTCTGGGACGGAATAAACAAAATCGTCCGCATGTGAATCATCAGATGGCTTGCTTTAGTTGACTACATCGCGCAAGTGTTGGAATGTCATGTCTTACCCTTATTTCCCTCATGTTGTCATTCAAGTAGACATCTCCATTCATGGCAAATCCCTTGGGCCAATATTATCACGAGACAATTCTTGGAAAACTATACCATATCATCTTTGGAGTAGTCACCAGTAAATAGCCCGATATGAATCCTACAGGTATGTGAATTCCCATGAAACAGCTGCAGAAGAAAATTGACGTTGATCCCAATTAAGATCCTTCGTTTGCAACCGTCTGATAATTGTTCAAAATTATGTCGATGATCTATGGGTTCGTGCACTACATAAAACCAGTGACTCCTACGCAAAATAACAATGAGCACATTTAAGGTTAAGTCCAAGTTTTGTGGTATTTGTGATTGCTCTGTTTTCTGTTTTGTTTGAAATTGAAACTATCGACATTAAATATTGTTTATTGCAGAGAAACAAAATCTCCATTCATTGGATATGCAATGTATGTCCATTCTATCAATATTGATGGTCCCCAATACACTCGCGAAGACTACGTTTCTGTGATTTCGCACAATTTTGCCAAGCCTGATTTTTAAGGTCAATTTTGAGTGACCACATTGTTATCTCGAGCGTCTCTTAACATAGATGAAATATTATTGTGTCAGATGATGCAGAATTTATTTAGCTTTCAATTGGTATGATGTATGAGTGGGTAGTGTAAGGCTTTAACCCGATGGATGGGTGATTACATTATCAAGTTTCTTTTGGAACCCACTGTATAATACACGTGCGGGTGTGTTACACCCAGTTGTCGGTCAAAGGGATATAAATAGGTTACCGTGAAAAGGGTTAATATGTAAAGCCCAGGTTACTCTCAGCGATAAATCGTATTACATTCTTCGTATAGTAGATCTGTCAGATTGATCAAACCCCATATTCTGTTTACACATTCCGATTTATATATAGTGTCCAATTCCCTTTCAATTGGGGGAGATTCCTTCTTCTTGCGCCAGATGACTCTTCGAAACAATTTGCATGTTTTCTGTGTGTTGTTATTTAACAAACGGGGAAAAAAGAGGAACACGGAGTTATTAGTTGCTAAATTCTAATGACACAAACTCTCCCTACGCCCTCTCTTAATGATTTGTTATTTTAGTCTCTGGACTTAATCGTGCACAGACATCTGAGGGATCTGTAGGCCACTACATCTCAATAAAGAGAACAAGTGTCTTTCGACCAAGTCGCCATACTGTACACTGTACAGTGACTGTGCAGTAGTAGATAGTAGATATCTAGTGTGCAGTGTGTAGTCCTAACAGCTTTGACGTCAGATGCACTTACAACGCACTGGGTGACCTTGATACATAACTTTAGATTGGAAATAGACAATTGAAAAACAATTTGCTCCAGTTTTAAAATATGGCATCAAATCAGGTTCCACGTGAGCCACTTTGCTTATTTTGATAGGCCGATTTCGAAAATGAAATCAGTTTTTAGCTGCAATAATTATTTTGAAAATTCTGCACTCAAAGTTTTATCCTGCACGGCGGCAAACTTCAAAGGTATTTTGCATCACAGCACCCCACGTGTCACTTCACACTGAGGTGGGGGGGGGGGGGGGGGGGGGCTCTATTATACTGTTGTCTATCCTCTTTGTGATAGGAAAATACTACTAGATGCAATCTTGGTAGAATCTAGATCTATATAAAATACTTCTTTTTGTGATCTTCTAAATCCAGCAAGAAAAACGGCCACCCACGAGTTATTTTGTTAATTTGGACACGCTGGTTCCGAATTTGATATTATTTTTACGATTAGACATAGTTTTAAATGTTTATGGAAAAATCTTTTTGGCGGGCCGCAGGTGTATCGATACCATCATCAATACCATCACAACAAGGTATTCGCTTAGGGCAGTCGCTGTTCCCCGGTGCTCCTCTCTCTCTCTCTCTCTCTCTCTCTCTCTCTCTCTCTCTCTCTCTCTCTCTCTCTCTCTCTCTCTCTCTCTCTCTCTCCCCCTCTCTTTTCTCTCACCCTCTCGCTCTCCCTCTCCTTTTTTATCTCTTTCTGTCTCTCTCTCTAGCTATCTTTATGTCTCTCTACCTATCTCTCTATCCCTCTCTGTCCATCTATCTATCTATCTATCTATCTATCTATCTATCTATCTATCTATCTATCTATCTGTGTGTCTGTCAGTCTGTCAGTCTGCCTGTCTGTCTGTCTGTCTGTCTGTCTGTCTGTCAGTCTTTCTATTTATCTAAAAAAAAAAAGAAAGAACGAAAGGAAGAGATGGGAAAACATGCTGCTACCTTGGTCATTCCACAGTTCCGCTGTTGTGGTGTGGACAACTTCTCGGATGCTGCAGCCTCCCCAGTGTGGGCAAAGACCATCGACTTTGTTGACCAGTCTGCAAATTTGGTCACCCCCTTCATTTGCTGCACAGTCAAAAGTGATGCACCAAACTGTGCAACAAGCACTGGTAACGCCTATTTAACCCAGACCTACTTTAACAGGGTGAGTCAGTTTCTTTTCCATTTCACATCTGTTCTCTCTGTGTGATGTAGACCAAGAGTATCAGCGACACACATGCATATTGCGTCCCCAGGATAACAAGATTTTATCTCAGTTACGCTCACTTTTGAGACAACTGTTGTAAACTATATCTTCAGTAATGAAGAGCAGCTTTCTAGCGCTTACTCTCTTATGCACAGCTCTATGAGCTTTACTTTACAAGTACTGTATCAGTATCAGCCAGCCCCAATGGCTCTTTACATAGAGCCCCATTGTACCATCTACGGCCAGAGACTGGCAGTGGCAGATACGTTTGTTTACCTTGGCAGCACCCTCTCTCGCTCGGTCAATATCGATGAGGAAGTGGCCTACAGAACTGCCTGAGCTAGTTCAGCCTTTGGCAGACTGAAAGACAAGGTCTGGGAGCGAAGAGGACTGAGCCTTAACACCAAGCTCAAAGTATATAAAGCAGTAGTTCTACAATCCCTGCTCTATGCCTGCGAAACGTGGGCAGCCTACAGCCGACATGCCAAGCAGCTCAAGGCTTTCCACATGAGATGCCCCAGGACCCTCCTTCGTATCAAGTGGCAAGACAGAGTCCCAGACACTGAGGTACTACAGCGGGCCAAGATGGAGAGCACATATACGCTATCCTACTGCACTCTCAGCTCGGGTGGGCCGGCCACGTTCACCGCAAGGACGACTCTCGTCTCCCAAAGAGGCTACTCTATGGTGAACTGATCCTAATCAAAGGATCTTTCGGCGGACAGAAGGAACGCTTTAAAGATACTCTGAAAGCATCCATGAAGAGTTGTGAAATTCCCCGTGCCACTTGGGAAGAAGCTGCTCGCGATCGCACAGTTTGGCGCTCCTTAGTAAGTTCGGGAGTGGCCAAATTCAAAGAAAGTCGCGTCAGAAAGAAAG